CAGCACTGGCGACGGCCTCCACCTCCGATGACTGGTCGCCACCATCTTTGTCATCAACGTATCACTCGATGGCATCGACTAACCTATGGTTGACGGCAGGCAGTGGTGACCACCGAATGCCATCGCATACGGCGACCATAAATAGACCGCAGAATCTGATGCCAACACTAACACCGATGAGACGCAGTGGTCGACCTCAGAGGCTATTAGCGCCTCTATTGGCTGGTAGTGGACATCCATTACCCCGATTGACACCATTGGCACCACTGAATCGTATGGCCAATCCATGGGCTAACGTCTATCGGATCCACAATCGTCTTCATCCCTATCCGTACGGTCCACGAGTGGGCGAACGGCTGCGACACCCGATGTCTTCACGGATACTCTCGATGGCATCGATTCCGCCAAATGTGTCACAGAATCCGTTTGCTATGCCGTCGGCCAGTGATGGCGATCGCCAGTCGCTGTCCTATTTGTTTAGACGAACCGGTGATACCTATTCAGTGACACCTAATACCGGTAAATAATATCGTAGTATAATTAGTAGACTAATGAATTGATTCAATTGAAATTGGAGTGTGTTTTGAGTTTTTAAACCAAATGAATTGATTTATTTTGAAAATACCGGTAATTCACAGTTATTTCGTCTATAACTCTATTTATTAATCGTTTATTATTTGTGTTTGTTTTAAGTTTTAAGTTTTAATTTAATGAATCAAATAAATTAATATACCAATTTGTGTGTGATATTTTTTAAATTGTAAAATGAATTAATTTTAAGTAAAAGTAGTTAAGACTTACAAAAAATAGTTTGAAATGCAAACCGATAAACTAAACTTGCAAATACAGTACTGTAAAATTGTCATATAGTAAAAAAGTAATTGCCATTACATGTCCCAAATATGAGACAAATTGTATTATATAATAGAGGGTGTGGTCTAGTGGTTAAGATGCCTGACATGTAATCAGGAGACCCCGGGCCTTTTAATATAATTTATTTTTTCAATGATTTCTAATACTTTCCACTCATTCATCTGATATAAAAATAAATTATTGAAAAAACATCTCAAATTCAATGCATTGTTTGAATAATTAGTTTGTTTTCGCTATATTTCGCAAAAAGGTAATTAGTGTACTGTAATGTGTACAAGTACCATATTTAATTAATGTCATTATTTATTTCGCAACATAAACCAACTGCTAACAAATATTTTGTCACATGCATTCATTAATGTTTTATGAATGCAATTGAGAAAATAGTTTTTATAACTACAGTAGAGTAGTTTATATGCTGAATAAATATAAATATACTGTATTAGGTATACCTGAACTTATATTAAATATTTAATATACGTAAAGCTAAAGTTGATGTATTTATTAAGCTGGTTATTATTAAGGTTAGTTTGTATGTAGTCCGAATTGAAATGAAAATTTCTTAAAAACATATTTTATTATATATGAAATTTTCTAAAAATAAATGTAATGTTCGTACTATTTAAGTTTAAGGGAAATTATTAAAAACCCATTAATAGCAACTTCATTGTATGAGTGTACATAAACTTAAAATGTTAATTTTCAAACCCACTTGATTTAATGGGAAAACACCTAAAAACATGAATTTATTTTAAGATAATATCAGCTGTTTAATACATGACCAAAAAAGTACTGTACTATTCTGTTGGAGTAACTAGATAATTATCAATTAAGTAAATATCGTATAATTTATAAAAAAAATATATGATTGAAATTGTTATTGAAACCAGTTGTTAAACATTACGTGATGTTCAGTGTACTTAAAAAATAAATACTTAAATAACCTTCATTATAAGCACCTAGCCTTATGATTATATTTTTAATTTGTAGTTAATGAATTTTGTATTTATGTCACCTCGATACGTTTGTTAATGCACTGATGTATTATCTCTGCTAATTTTGTATAATTTAATTCGTACACATGCACTAATGCACTAATTTTGTTTTTTCAAAATGTAAAAGACTTAGAAATTAATATATTGAGCAAGAATTTTATGATTCTGTATAATTTAGGATATTGAAATAAAATTCTAACAAAAACACATTAATTAATGTACATAACTGTATATGTATATATTATATATAAAACTATTTATGGATTTAGTTATAATTCTACATTTAATAGCTATAATGATTATTTTTCTCGGGAATTAACACTATTATTGGAAAATAAATTGCAGTATACTTTAAATACAGTGAAAATGTACTGAATTTCGTATTAAATTATTTGCAAAAAGTTATAGTCCTTAATACTCCAATTCAATGATATTTATAAACTTATAATCCTGTTAATGGATAACAATTTCAAGTTTCTAGTGCATGAGTTTGAAATAATTACCATACTAAATAATGTAATAATGTATACAGTAATAGCTCACTTTTGTGTTATAAGTTATATGATACCACACCCATCATGAATTCTATATGACTTTCCCTGAGCTGTCAGTCCCGTATCAATCAACTCTATCTAAATAGAAATTTATATGTAATCACGTAATTAAGTTATTTGAAAAATGCATCAAAAATTTCAATGTCATAGTTTTAAAGTATTAATTTTGTCATAATTATCAAACTGTTAAAATTTTACCCAAAAATTATATTTTTAAATGTATAGCTAATTTTGAATATTAATTTATAATTTATAATTTGTCTTTTAAAATTAGGAACCTTCAAAAGGGATTATAAATGGGTTTTTTAAAAAGTCTGGTTTGGTTTTATGTATTAATAAATTTTATATAAAGCACATTGTTTTTTAAGAAAAGGCCTTGGTTTATGGTATTATATTTAATTAATAATTAATGTCATTAATTAAATATATTGCTATGTTTACCAATTGTCAACTACACGTGTTTGTCAGTTCAAACAAACGTCATTTTGTACAAATGTAATATTGTACTAAAAAACTTGTATACTCACCTGTAATATTAGAAACGATCATGTTCATTTCACATGGACATAATATATGATACATGATACTTTTTGAAAGTAAATATTATAATATCGTTTGGGAAGTGAAATCTGCAGTAAATCTAAACGTAATTTATAAATTGAATTTAAGTTTAATTGCGAACTTTAATTATATTATTTAAAATATGTATTATTAATGAACAAAATAGCGTGGGTATATTATTTTTATCATTTGTGGTACCCATATAATTCACTTTCAAAGAGTTGGTCTCTCGCCTATACTTTGGCATGTATTTTCGGGTAAATTTTCTAATAATTTAATTTAATTTAATAGTTTTATCACTCGTATCTGTTAAAAACGTGTGCTCTAACTCGAAATTGGTTTTCGGAACACACATTAACCAGATTTAAACCAATTACCCACGAAATAACCCATTTTCTTGGGAATGCTTTCTAACGTGAAGTGTATCTCAAGTTATACACAGCTTATTTTTCCATAGAGATTCTTGAAAATGCCAAACTTTATTTGGTTGTCCAACTCTTTGGAAGTGAATAATATGGGTACCGCAAATGATAAAAATAAAATAACCACGCTATTTTGTTCATTAATAACACATATTTAAAATAAAATAATTAAAGTTCGCAATTAAACTTAAATTCAATTTATAAATTACGTTTAGATTTACTGCAGATTTCACTTCCCAAAAGTTACAGTAAACTATAGGTCTAAAAATTATGGAATTAACAGTACGGGTACATATTAAGTAAATATTATTTATTTGCTAATAATTTGAAATACAGAATTATAAATCATTAGGGAACGGAATTTGTTAATAAAATTACATTTCAAAACTTGTATCATGTACATTTGAGACCTTTTTAATATAAATTCCACATAAATTCAATGTAATAGTACTCAACAGTCTTATTGAGATATAAATAGTTTATATCTCTATAACAAACTGATTGCCAATTGACGTAATTTTGTCAGTACTTTGTCAGTGGAAACGGATTTTTATGACATTTTTGGTTTGTATTTCACAATTTATATTATCCTTGACAACAATATAGTGAGATATCGATGATTAGTACTGCAAAGTTTTATGTAATTTTTTATATGAATAGAGATTTCAGTGAAATATTCTTAATGTACCTTTATCATATTAATATTAATACTAATTGAAAATAGATTTATCGGAACATAATATACATCTATTGTATATAAATAATTATATTAGTATTTATTTAGTTAGTTAATTAGTATAACAATAGCGGATATAAAAGGTTATACTATTGTACTAGAAAATGTCGTAATATTGTAATAATATATAGTAATATCGATGTTTTAAAAATAGATAAATGTACATGCTGACATTTGAAGTGTAAATGCACTAAATTTTGCTAATTAAAATGTACTTTGTATTTCATTGGAATTGTATACATTATTTTCCTTATCTACAGAATAATCATAATTTATAAATGTAGTTATTATTATTTCTAAAAATATCCTTTTCAATATTTCCATAAATTATTTCCAACGCAATCAAGTTAAATTAAAAAACAATTTATGTTAAATTTATTTAACTTTGTTAAAAATAAAAATTAAGGAAACCTTGTTCAAAAACAGAAATAATTGTAAACGGGTTTTGATTATATAATTAAGTGTTTACGTATCAAACCACAAAACAATTTAGTTTTTATTTTTTACATTTATAAGTTACATTTGCATTTCAATTACAAACTAATGTTATAAATTACAAATATATATATAAATTAAATAATCAAATGGCATTTCACGTGGTATTACATGTGATATACAGCGTGTAATTGTCTAAAAACATATTTTTAAAAATGTAACATATATTTAATAATAAACGTAATTAAAACTTATATAATATATTTGTCTTTTCCATTATTAGTAATAATTTATTACACAGATTTGGTATCCAATGTATAAGCAATTAAATAAAAAATGAATAGATACTATTAATTATAAATATAAAAACACATTCAAAACAAACTTTTCATACATTATATAATAAAATCAATAGATATTTAGTGTCAAATCCAATGGTAATTATATCCGTATTTATATCATAATTATATGTAAAATATTATATATATTCATGCGATTCAGTAGATAATTGTCGATCCGTTAGATATCTCCGATCGGCAGTCGCTCATCGAGTCCTCCAAACTGTGTTTGCGTAAGATTTTCAGTTTTTTGCTACCATTCCGCTGCTGATGACTGTTGAGACCACTAGACTCGCCGGTGTCCTTCCGTTTGGCCATATTTTTCTCGTTTAAAACCTTTTTCATAATATCCGCCAATTTGTCCGAATCGATGGTCATATTGCAGTCGACGCACCGGCACGTGACCCAGGGGCGAAACAGTTTATTCACTGTATGAGCAAGCAACATTTATTAATAATCATTTTAGTTAATTCATAATACAGTATATTCAATTTTTAAAAATATGTTTAATCTAGTAAATAGGAAATTACTTGTAATTTTAAGTGAAAGCAATATTTTATCAAAATTAAATTATTAAATAAAATGTTTTTTAGTTTTACACAAACAATGCTATACTGTGAAATATCCAATTTAATTAGAGACCATAAGTTTAAAACAGTTGTTGTAATTAAATACACTTCATTTTAAACCATATGTTTTCATTATACTGTATAAATATAATACGGTATATGATAACCTCTTTATATTTAGTAATAATATTAAATTTTTAAAATATTTAAAATATTAAAAATATATACAAAAATCGTTATCTAAAATATCGATTTTTTCAAAACCAAAAACCATTAAATGATAGAAATCTACAGTAGTATCGATTAATTATAAAATATAAAATCATTTTTAAACAAACCATTAATGTAAAGGAAAACTTTTTCAAGGATTTATGCAAAATATGAATATTTAAATAAATTATACTGTATTCATAACTTTATTATGGAAAAAACATTTTTAGTGCATTTAAATCTACTGTATTATATTTAATATATTGTATAATGACTATATAATTATGCAGTATATTGATTTTAATTTATTTTAAAATAATTATGAGTAATATACTTTTTCAAGAATTATAATTATAACATGTGTGCTATACTGTATTAATAATATAAATGGTAGGAGTTATATAAATTAAGAAGCTAGTTTAACATAAATTTAAACTAAATTGAATTTAATTGTTATATAAAATGTAAAATGTTTTTAATTAATGCTAAACATAAAGCTAGAGATTCATGGAAAGGGATTATCGGCGATGTAATTATTTATAATGTTAATAAAAAGTTTAATTAAATAACATTTGATATTTGTTGCTAAGGGATGTAGAATCGGGAAACCTATAATACAAAATTGCATAAGCCACAAATACTAACTATCCTGTGGTATCAATTCTTGATAATAACGTTATTTTTTTTATAAATATCATTAAAAATTGTTTTCCAAAATGTTTTTCATTTTAAACAAAATCTACAAATTATTTTAAAATATCATATGCTATTAATCATATGCTATTAAATATCCATTTGGAGACAATTCTGTTACCAATTAATAGATAACTAGAAAACATGTTTTCGTTTCAAAAGCGCTTTTTCTATCGAAAAATAGTTTTTCCATTTCGACACAAATTTTAATGATAGCCTATATATAGAGTGTACTAAATATGTTATAGATAAGATTAATATACCATTCCACATTTTGTTATCAACAATTTTTCTGCTATATCACCACCAATATAATGATAACACTGTGTTTAATCATTAATAAACTTTATGGCGCTCATTAATTATGAACACCGATGTACCGGTGCTATGACTGGTGATATTAATGCTAACTAATTATACAGTATGTGGATATTTTACTATGGTTAAAGTGCCCGTACAAAAGTAATTTATTATTTAAATGGGAATTATGTTTATGAATATGATATGTATTTTTGCAAATTTTCAAATATAATAATGTCATAATAAAGTTGTTTTCAAATTCATGTCTTAAATAATATGTTTTTCTCTCTCAGATCTAATTAATGTCATAATTATGATCATTATTGTAATTATATTTGTAATGTACTCAAAATAAAATATAATTGCTTAATAACATTACCATTAATTTCACGAGTGGTATATAAACTTTGTATTCAATTCTTGATATAAATATTTATGTAATTTTTTGTAATTAAGAAAGAGGGCATTGAATCGATTTTAAAAAACTATATAATGACCTAGTTACTGTTTATTTGGTACATTAAGTAAACTACATGTACTAGACACTAATGTAGTTTAATGAAGTCTGCATTAACACACTTCTTAATTAACGCTAATTATTATAATTATAAAAAACCATTAAATAAGGTTATTGATAAAAAAAATGGGAATAATAAAATTTATAATTACGTTTGGTTTGGGTTTTATCCATATTATTATTATTATCAGTAAGTTTATTTTGATCTTGGTTATTATTTAGATTATTTACTTTATCATTCATGGTACTACTCGTACTGGCCATGGAGCTGGAGGTACTTCCAGCACTACTTGTGCCACATATTAACGACATATTCATTATAAAAAATTATTTTTTAATATTAAATATATTATTAAAATATTTT